GCAGAGAAGCGAGCGCGCCTGTCCTGGGCCAGCCGTCCAGCTGCGGTTAAAGGCACTCTGTGGCGCAGTCTGGCTCTCTGCTCCTCCTGGTTTCCTATGGGAACAAGGGCTGTGTCCTCTTGTGGTTTGTCTACCTTCCCTCCTCTAGTACCCACCAAACCCACGGCCGGTTTCAGCTCAATTTATTGGGAATTAGCATCCTGCAAGCGTCCCGCAGGTTGGTGTTCAGGGATGTGGTTGCTCTTGCCAGGGGAACAGTCCTGAAGGATGCACATCCCTTATTAGACATCAGAGAAGCTGCATGGGCTTCATTTCCCCCGTGAGCACAGTAAGGCTTTTCACTGCTCCCACTCTCATTTAAAACCAGAGCTGCTTGGCGGGTCGTGGGGCACCTCTCTGGCTTTGGTGAAGCTGCCAGGCTCCTTCCTGATCCCACTGGGAGTTGGGCAGGGGCTGGTGAGTGCTTGAGCCCCTGGGGAAGGGCGTCTGCAGGCTCTCCCCTGCTGGCTCTTCCCGGGAGGCACGTGGGGACCCTGGCCATCCTCAGAGCAGGCAAAACCTTGGGGCATGTCATGGCATTTTGCTGCCCCGGTGCGAACCTCAGGGCCACAGGCTGCTGGGGGCTTCAAAGCGGGGACGAGGGGAGTGCTGGGCTCCAGGCGGGGCAGGGGCATAATCCACCATGATCACGGGCTCAGCAGCGACCGCAGACTTAGACCTGTCCTTTGGGAGAGGACAGTGGTGAGACCAGCCTGAGACAAGCCAGGGAGACATCTTGCCCACAGATTTCTCCCTGCCTGGGAGGTCTCGGGTGGGTGTGAGCTCCTTCCCACACCCCGGTGCCCCCCTTTGCAGTGGCGGGTTGCCCGGCCGGCTGAGCTGGACCCGTGCATGTAACACAGCTGACGCTTGCGGTGCTGCAGCTCTATAATGACTCTCGGATCAAGAACCCAGATGCCCTGTATCGTCCGAGCTGTTAAACTATTACCATCTTTCTGTCTTGTGGCTGCAGGCATTTAATCTTGCAGATGTTCTGCTATGTCGGGGCAACCCTGTCCCCCGGCAGACGTGTCCCCGTCCTCTGCCTGGGTGGTGGACGTGTCCCACACTGGAGCGGCCGCTGGGAGCTGGGGCCGGTGCAGAGCTGCCCGCGTGCAGGTTCAGGGGGATGGACTGGGAGGTGCAGTAAGGTGTACACGTGGCGAGGGTGGTTTCCCTGGCGGTGGTTTCCTCCTAGCAAGTGCTGGGCGGATAGTGATGGTCAGCAAGCCTTTTACCCGGCACGATCCCACAGGGACCAGCTGTGCGCATCCTCCCTGGAATGAGACCTTGCAGTGCTTGCTTTGCTTCCCGCAGAGATAGCCCTCCAAGTAGCATTTCTCTCCCAGTGCGTGACCTTGGTACCCCGAACCCACCGGACTTGCCACAATTGCTCCCCGGGTTGCACCCTGCTCCACCAGCGGTGGGGCTCCTGATCAGCAAGCAAAGGATAACCTCTGCTCGTTTCTCCTTCCACCTTTGGCGGTCCTGCTCCTGCGTGGGGTTGATGCCCACGGCGTGTTTGCAGAGAGCCCCACTAACCTCCTCTTAGGGCTCAGCCTTTTTCTGTCCCCCCTTTATTTTTTTCCATGAGGAGGGGGGAGATTACGTGCAACTCCAGCAGAATAAACTGGTGTCCAGCAACTAGCCACATCTCGCTGTGGCCTGCAGGGTTGGGGTGGACCAGACAGTTACCCTGGCCGCAGATTAGCATGTTAATTAATTAGATGAGTTCACTCTCAGCTGGTGTTGGAATACAGAGCATTTTTGGCGGCCGTTTCGCAAACTGGTGGTGTGTCTCGGAAAAGACAAACTGGGAGTACGGAGTTGCTTGGAGCCCAGGAAGGGCGCCTGTACAGAGGGAGCTGCAGTTCTCCCAGCATCAAGGTCATGCATGAAATATGAGAAATTACCCTGAGAAATTCTGATCCTGGAGGAGGAGGAGGAGGAGGAGGAGTTCATGACTTCAGAAATACCAGATTTGGGAGGGGATGGAAGGGGGAGGGATATATTTTCCTTTTCAAAATACCTAAGGAATTCAGCCCGTGCTGCGGAGACAATGAGATTTCGCCCCTTGGTGCCAGAAGGGGTAGTTCATACCCATGTGTCTTGTTAAGGTTTTGGTTGCCATGGGTGAAAAGCCCTCCCATCCCGCTGCAATCCCAGGCACGTATGGTTTTTAAATCACCCTAAAATCAAGAGAGTGGCTCAAATGTGAGATTTAAAGAAAACGCTGCATGTCCTCTATTCTCTGTGATTTCTATGGCTTTAGGCTGGATTTCGGTCACTTTTTCCAGCTGTGAAGGGCTACTAAGTCAACTTATATATATATCAAAAGTTATTTTTGTATATATATTTATGTATATATTTGCGATGTCACATAATTGTATGCTCCAGGAGTGGAGCACCCTGAGGTTTGTTACAAAACACAAAGGTTGGCAGCTCTGCAATGGCAGCTGCAGGGCAGCGGGAAGGGGGCGATGGTACGTGCATGTCCGGGGCTGTTCGGTCCATCCCTTGGGGGACCCTCACACCGGTGGGGCTGGCAGGGTGGCCTCTGCCTGCCCGGCATCTGGCAGTGATGGGAAACCCTGCTTTCCCCCCACGAGAGCATCCTGGCAGCAGTGGCAGGGGGGCGAGCTGGGGCTGCCTCAGGGTGGCTCCACGTCGGACGCCTGATGCGTATGCCGGGGTGGGATGGGGTTTTGGCCTCTGTGTCCCGCAAGCTGTGAGTCTTGGATCCCGTCCCGTGGTTTTCCCCGGCCCTGCCCCAGCTGGCGGCAGGGGGAGGCAGGGAGGGGACCCAGCTGCTCCCGGGGCCCCCACTGGACTCGGCCGTCCTCCCGGTTAGCTGGCGCGGGGTGGGTCTGGCTGCTCGTGGGGTCTGCCGGCAGGGAGGGAGGCATAGAGAACGGCTCGGTGCGAAGGCTTACTATGTCTTTTGGCTCTCCAGCTTGGAGAGCAAGAAACTCAGCCTGCGTTGCAAGACCTGCCCTGGCTCCCGGGCTCGATCGGCCTCCTGCAAGCAGGGATGCGGGAAGGCATCTCCTTCCCTGGAGCGGATGGCTTTCCTATCAGTCGACCCCGATTTCAGTGGGGAAATTCCAGCCTGTGGATGCTGGGGCAGGATCCAAAGCCAGGTGCACTTGCTGCGCTCCACACCAGGCCCGTGCAGAGGGATGTTGCAAACCGTGTTTTCAGCCAGCGGTGCCTGAGAGCAGGTCGTGTTGACATGCATCTGCCTGCACCACTGCCGGAGCAGGTTGCTGTCCGCCGCCTCCCTGCCTGCCCGCCCCACAGCTCTGCCCAGTGCTGGACCCAAAACCTCAGCTGAGCCCTCAGAAAAGCCACCAGCAGCCCCGCGCCCTGGCCTGGCTGCTGGCACAAGACCTGGGACGCAGTTCTGCCTGCGCCCTTGGCTCTCTCTGAGCAAGTGGTGCTGCACCCGCTCTCCCGAGCTCAGTTCCCACCGTATTTAACCCAGGAGTGGGTTGCAGCCTCCTGGTGCCGCAGCAGTGCAAATAACGACCCTTTTACAATGAAAAAAGGAGATTTTTAATACATGCATCAAATCTTTCTCTGTGTGGACGCTCCCACCTATTCAGCTGGTCTTAAGAACAGCAGCAGCGATGCCCTTGGATACTCGCAGGCCCGTGTATTTCTGCATGCACATGCCAGTGAACATCCCCCCATGCCTGGGGGGTCCGCATCACTGTCACTGCTCCTCGGACCCTGTTTCAGTGGACTGGAGCGGAGTGTGTCCATCTCCGTGTGTGTGCGTGGGTGAGTGCACACACATGGGCACTCGGCACGCATGTGGAGTGGTGACTGCGACTGGGAAGCTGGGTGTTTTTAGCTCCTCATTATTAGTGGTAGGAGCCCAGTGGCAGTGAGGCTGGAGGTGCCCGAGACCTTAAGAAAAACAAGAGGGAGGAGGCTTCGCATTTCCCGAATTGAGTCGGAGTTGACAGCCTTTCCCTGCAATACAATTAATCCCGGCAGCGCCTCTGCCACCCTCCCCCTCCCGCCTCGTCCAGGAATTAATTACTTGATTATAAATCCCCGAGCGGTGGTTTATAATAGCAATAATCCCCTCGAAATTCATCCTCGCTGCCGGTTTCTTCCCATCTCACCCCCGTCACTGACAGTCTCTAATGCTGCATCTCCGTGCCGGGTGCAGCCCTTCTCACCCTGCTGGTGTGGTGGCTTTCCCTGGGGACAACCATGGTGGGAAAAAATTAGGAGCTGATTTTGAGGGGTGTTTTTGGGAAGCCCTGCTCCTGTTCACAGGGACGGAGCCCTTCTCTCATGGGTAGTGGGTTTCATCCTGGCTGGGGAAATGTGCAGGAGCGAGACGCTGACACTGATTGCTGGGGATAACGTTTTGTCCCAGTTACTAGGCTGATGGCCCAGGCCCAGCCCCGCGGAGTGGGGGCCGGGGGCTGACAGCGTGGCGGGGGGAGGCCCCGTTCCTCCTCTCTCTGTCCCTCCTGATTATGCTGACGCTGGCTCTGTGGCTTGTCACCGAGGCGGGGAAGGGAGAAAGGATTTGGCGTGGCATATGGGAGTGCGAGGCGGGTGGCAACGTCTCACAGGAGCCTGCTGGCGATGGGTGATGTGCCTCGAAACAGTGCTGCCATAGTGGGAGATGAGCCTCTCTGTGCCCCCCCCGGGTTCCCAGGGCTTGGCAAGGGGCTGCCGCCACCGAGGGGACCCAAATCAAGGTCCCCAGCTGATAAGGCAGCCCAGCACACACGGCCCCTCTGCATGGCCATTGAAATAGCGAGGTTTCCACCTCCACCAGCCACGTGTGGGCTTTCAGCTCAGCGATGGCATCCTGCTGGGAAAAAGCCCTGCCCGTTCCAAACCACGTGGGCAGAGCCGGTGAGGGCGGCACCAAAGCTTCCCAGTGCATGTGGCCACCAGGCTCTGATGGCTGCTTTTCTCACCTGTCTCTGCAGAAGATGCTGATGAAGCAGCAGGACCGCCTGGAGGAGCGGGAGCAAGACATCGAAGAGCAGCTCTACAAGCTGGAATCGGACAAACGGCTGGTCGAGGTAACTGGTGCTTCACCCTGTTGTGGCCAGCCCCGGGGACTGTCACCCCATGGCGCGATGGGGACAGGCTCCCAGGGCGTAGGGGCCAGGTGGGCAGGGAGGAGGGAGGACACACAGGGGAATAGTGGCCGGCCGGACCTGCTGTCTCCATTCCTGTCCTGGCAGTCCTACTTTTGGAAGATGAAATGTGTTTGGGGCTGCCCTACAGCCTCATGGGTCCTGGTGTGAGTTGGGAGGCAAGGAATGAGGCTGTTCTTAAATATCAGGTGGCCCCCCGGCTCAGCTCAGCACAGCCTTCCCTGGGCCACCCACTTCATCCCGAGTGGGAGGGGAGGGTCTGGAGATGCGAGATCCCCGAATAAACCACTGAAATACCCAGGAGGTGGAAGAGATGCAAGCAAGTGTTTTGCTGGGTAAAACAAGATCAGCTTGTGGTCCTTAAAGCCCCTTGGCCTCCCAGAGCATGGAGGGAAGGGCTCTGGAGCATGACATGACTCCAGCCTGGGGTGGGGATGAGGGCAGGGATGAGGATGAGGATGGGAATGGGGATGAGGATGGGGATGGGGATGGGCAGGGTTTTTCAAGGGAGCACACCTGCCTCAGTGTTGTGGCAGGTTGTTGCTTGGCATTAGCTCTCCGGACGTGATCCCCACCTAGATCCCAGGAGGTAGGTCCAGGGGATTAGCCAAACCTCCACAGTGGCCCTGTTGGGTCTCTGGCATGTAGGAGTCCCACGTGACAGCTGACCGCAGGGTTTGGTCTGTGTGGGCATTGCAGGAGAGCAGAGCTATAGTGCAGCTCTCGGGCTGCACCCACCCCTGCTGGGGAAAGGACCCAGGTGTCCTGGGGCATCACGGCGGAGGTTGGAGGGTGCAGAGAGGCTGACCCTGCTCCTCTCCCCCAGGAGAAGGTGAGCCAGCTGAAGGACGAGGTGCGCCTGCAGTATGAGAAGATGCACCAGATTTTGGACGAGGACTTGCGGAAGACCATGGAGATCCTGGACAAGGCCCAGGCCAAGTTCTGCAATGAGAACGCAGCCCAGGTCCTCCACCTCAACGAGCGCATGCAGGAGGCCAAGAAGCTCCTCAGCTCTGTCCAGGTCATGTTCGACAAAACCGAGGACATCAACTTCATGAAGGTGAGATGAGCTGCCTGTGCTGGGGGAGGGGGCCAGGGGGAGGTCTGGTTGCGCAGGAGCGTTGTGAGAGTGGGCTGGGGGCACTGATGGGGACTTGCTGGTGCCTCTAGAAGGCTCAGCAGTGGGGGAAGGCGAGGAGGAGCAGGGGAGGCTCAGCACTGGC